TTATCCCATGTTATGATATTCATTCCATTTTTGAGTTTACAAACTCCCTCCACCCTCCATTGTATGTATGTCAATCAATCCATGTGTGTAATCTTATCTAGTTCTTCATCAAGTGGCCGGATTATCGATCGATTGTGTATCACATGTTCTATCTAGTGCTAGCAACTTGAACTACTCCATTATTTTATTATTATTATCCCTACTTTTGACTGATTTATGCATTTTTCATTTCTCATTGATTCCCGTACTGTTTTATCGTTTTTTTCGCTTCTTTTGTAGACTATCCATGAGGCACGTGATAGTGTCACATGTTGTGCATTTCGTCGACATCAAATTGTTACTGGTTCTGTTGATCGATGTGTTCGGATTTATGATATTCGACGAGGTTAGTGAAAATCTATTTTTTTTTAAAAAAAAGTTATCAGTGTGGCAAACTTCTTTATACGCGGTACATTTGTTTTCTTCTTGAAGGAACATTATTTTGTATTATTTATAAAATTAACTAAATGAAGATTATGAAATTCATTCTCAACCGATTGAACATAACTTTTCACACCGACAGTAGACTGATAACTTTATGATCATAGGTTTCTCAAGTGCGAATAAGATTTTACTAGTAACCGATGAGACTGCAGTTTATGGACGACTTTTGATCAGCTCTAAAATGACCTTAGAATGTCCACCTACTTACTAGAGTTAAATGAGGATTTTATATTAGTGTGAGGAATTAGGATTATGATTTACAGTTGGTGGTTAGGGTTAGGAATTAGATTCGGGGTTTTCGTCACGAACTGACATCAGTAATAATGCTAAAACGCTATTTAGCCGAATGGATGAATGATTTTCCTGCCAAGTGTGAGAAACTGCATTCTGAACAAATAATCACTTAGTGTTACTCTCGGGACAATTTTGTACTAAACAGACAATCCGGGTGAGCTAATCATACTCGGACTAGAGCAATACAACTGCTCTCCTGTTTTACGATCCGATTTCACAATCCCTTAGTAAACAAGCAAAAGGTGTCTATTTTTCACTAACACATCACAGATAGTTGTTCGAGACGGAATCGCAAGTTGTAATAAGAGGAATAGGATCCAAAGTGTATCTGAATAACCTTAGTTAAGATCGTTTCAAATTTAAATGTTGATATAATAGTAATACATAATGGAGGTGACGTTATTATTTATCCATAATCAAATTTTAAAAGTCTGAATAATCGCAGAGGAAATACTAAATTATGACAGGATTATTCAACATGATCAGTATCAAACTCAAATTTATGTATAGACATTAATAAGATAATGCGTGATATAAATTATATGATTACAATTACCGTGTCAATTAAAGGACTATTGCGTTTTTCCTACGTACATATGGGTCATGTCGGAAATATTTAGTGAACTACATTTGCGAAATTGGGTATAACGGGCGATGGCTATTTGTTTATTATTTTGTATACTTTACTGATATCCACTGTCCATCAGGCACCTGGCTACTATAATAATGAAGACATTACTGCTATTGGTTTCTAGGAAGGTGTTCAGAAAACCTAGCAGATACCTTCCTCTTCATCCTCCCTATCTGCATACTTACTACCTCAAGTTAATTCATGAATGCAACTGAATGTTATTATGTCTTGGCACCGCGTATCAATGTTACATGCCAAGTCATTATTCAGAATCCTAATTTTGATTTGCTCTATTTCAAGTCTACTGTTTCCTCGACAGCTAAGTTCACATTTCCCTGTTGTTCGCAAGCTCCTCTCTATCCCTTGCCTTGAGTAGCAGTCAACCTCTACGGCTATACCGGATCTCATCAAACTATAGAATGAAATATAACAATTATGTATGAACGGACCAAAAGTGGCTGTGACTAATTGACTGGCAACAAATTAGGAATAGTAAATAGTGTAACCACAGTTGATGGGCTTGCTTAAATTTATCAAATGGTCATGTTGTATCAATTCATGAATAATTTTTCACGATATAAATGATATTTTCCTATTTATGCTTAATATCCTTTATATTTGTTGACTGGGCGATATAAAATGCTGTAGGTGAAATGACTGAAGACTATGTTGGATACCCAGTTACATCGGTTTCAATTACCATAGATTGTCAATGCTTTTTAGTTGGTACACAAGATTCAACTTTACGTTTATTCGACGCGTTAACCGGTGAACTTCTTAACAGATACACAGGACATACTAATCAAACATACAAGTAAGATCATTCCAGAAAAGTTGCCTGTTTATTGTTTGTATATTTATTTGCGAAACAGTTCAAGACTCATCATAATATTCAATAGTGAAATATTTAATGATTTTAAACCTACATCTCAATATTTTCTGACTGTGCTATGAAGACTTAGTAATAAAACCATACTAAAATTATAAATCTGATTGAGGCTAAGTAATGTGTTTTTTAATATATGAAGTTTCGTCAAGTGACACTAACCAAACCAAAAATCATAGTGTTTGCTAAAGCATCAGTTTCCTTACGCAGCCCTTAAGAAATTCCAAGACTTATCTGTTTGCGTTATCCTAACATCCATTCTTGCCAAATTAACGGGACTATAGTTAACATTGCTCAGTTTCATGAACTAAGGTTTGTTATGCTATTCTCCTAGTTTCACATAAGTTACAAGTTATAAAACAGTTTATTAAATGTCTACATAAGCTGATAGTATCCAAAGTTGCATATCACCTAGGTTGCATGGATTGTCATGACTGGGAGTCTGAAACAGTTGTGAAATAACTTATCTTTTAGTAACTGATCAGATCCCAAAGAGTCTCAGTTTTAGCAGCTCCTTTGCTAATCATCTCATTAGCAAGTTTTGATAAGCCGTCTATTTCCTGAATTCGATTGAAGAGAAATTACGTCTTAGGGTATATTGAAAGCTATAAGTTTATGACTGGCGCTTTAATTGGACAGATTCTCAGTCTTGCAATATTTGAGTTTGAATTGTTCAAAGGTAATATAAATGGGTTTTTATACTGCGCATTACTATTGAACTAGGTGCCATAAAACTTGTACCTTTGAATAGTTGATTCTGAAGGACTGCGTAAAACAGTGCATAAATACACACACACACACACACATTTCTTCATGTACTATTGTCGGTTGAAATGGAGAATATACATTTGGCTGACTCTCGCCTTCTCAATGGTTTTGAGGTTGGGTCAAAAGTTATCGGGAGTATAGTTTAAGTTTAGTTGAGATGTACTATTAAATTAATATTCATTTATTTAGATTAATACAAGTTATGGTAATCGATCTTCATAATTTGTTTCATTTCTTTTTTTACAGAATGGATAGTGCTCTGATGAATTTAGATCGTCATATAATCAGTGGTTCAGAAAAAGATGGTCTTGTTTTTGTATGGGATTTCATACGTTCGGATGCACCGATTCATACACTAGATCATCAACCTGGTAGCAATGCATGGGGTGTTTTATCTCCACACAACCCAGAATCAGTTAGTGAATTGATAATTGAAACGGCTAAATCAGTAAATTTTATGATTCATTCAGTGTCACCACATCCTAAACAAAGTAAACTACTTACAGCAGGTGGTGATTTTGTTTGGTTGTGGGACGCTGAACCTAAAGATATTAAAGAAAGTGAATAAAGATTTCTTGTATATATGGTTTGATTTGTACAGATATTTTGTTTGAAAAAACTGGTGTAATTATCACTTGTTATGCTTCACTCTGGATACACTTGATGACTGAATTACCTTGGTGGGTTAAAGGTAATAACACAGTGCATATTTTCATCGGATTTGCATTAATATATTATTTCTTAAGGAATAAAACGCGTAGTAGACTATAGAGACCTTAACGGTTGATTATAATTGTTCATACGATTTTAACTGACTTCGTGATGTAAACGAAAACATTGTGGTTGTAATGACTGCTATTTAGAAAGGTTTGTCATTTAAAGTTGAACTACCTCAAATCGGTAATACTCATACTGTTACTTTCGATATATAGCTGTATTGCTTGAACGAAGCATCTTCGAAACAACTACCATTTAGGTTTACAGTTTCATTAATGATATAGTAGCCCAATCAAATTTCACCAAATGAGAAGGCTGCGTTATCCCAATCAGAAATATCCTAAGTGCCAAGTGCATCCTATTGGCCGAGAAACGGTCCCATTTTCTCAGTAGATATAATATGTATACAAATGAGCGCTTATGTATGTAAATCGGTTTACTCTAATAAGCTCCCGTCTTCACTCTTAGCCTTCTCTTTCGGTAGCCGCTCGGGGGCTTGTGTATACGAGGACACTGCACATCATAACACATTGTACGTGACTAAAGTCACTACAAGTGTTGCCGTAAAATTTCAGTTAAATTAACAAACAACATATTGAGAAAGTAACATAGATAACACAAAGGTAGGCGACAAAGACTTTGAATTTTGTGCTGAAATTACTAATGTCAAGATCTCAACTATACCTTGAGAGTGTCTACCTAATAACTAAGAGCGAATGAGGGTTATAAACCAATGTAAGGAATTAGAACTATGATTTACTGTTGATGATTAAGGTTAAGAATTATATTTAGGGTTTTCATCACGAACTGACATAAGCTATAACGACAAAACTATTTACCTAAACGGATCGGTGAGTTTCGCGCCAAAATTCGAGACCTGTTATCTTATACCTGATTGGTTGGTCCATATATTATAGTCTCGCCGATTTCTTTACTGTACTACCATTTAATGATTTTATCAGTCATATGCCAAATAAAAGTCGAAATGGAGTCCTAAACGGCAATCTCCATTAACAAATTATGAAATATGATACTTAATCAGTAACTCACAAAAAAGTTGTTGATGAATTCTGACCAAGTAAATTATTCACCTGAATAAAAAGTAACAAACAAAATTTCTAACTACATTACATTTTTAGTGTCAGAAGGGGTTTTGTGGATATTATAGTAACTTCAATGGTTAAGATCATGAGTCAATTAAAGCTAGACCACCATTGAAAACCTGGAAGCACTGGACGGCCGTTACGTCCTATTGTGGGACGAAAACAACTTTTCTTAAAATAATCAATATAATTGAGGGGGTGTTTCTTACATGCATGTTTGTAACATAAGAAAACACTGATAAGTAGCTTCGACAACTGACAAAGTCAATGTTTAATAACTAATTAAATAGGTTGATGGTAGAAAGAAAATACAAAGTCAAGGAAAACACAAGTGTCGCAAATATATTTCTTCCAAAAAATATTTGGTTTTTTATTATATCTTAAAAGATTAAGCATATACAAATGTTATTGTTATCTCCATTCTATTTTTCTCATTGGTGCCGTATGGTCAATCACTTCGCGTATCACAGGTGTTCTCAACTGATTTTCTTTACAGTGATAACATTTTCCACTACAATATTTATTACTTGTAAATGTTAATTTATTAGCATTCAAAATCTTTTTACATGGTTTAGCATTTGTTCCACGTTCAACAGCTTGATAATTTTGAGACTTAGAATTAAATATTGGATTCATCGAAATCGAATTATTCAATAAAGTTTTACAAGAGTGTTCCTGAAATATCGTACATAAAAGTCATGTCAACTCTATTGAGGTAAATTACAAGACAACAGAAATACAACTACATTTTAGTGACTATAGGATTTAGTATTTAATTGGACAAGGTAGATAACTCATGACTGAGTTATTTTAATAATCATCAATGGAATCCCCTATAGTAAATAATACACCATTCAATACACAACTATGAATACTACAAATGAAAACAAACAATATATTAGAAATATTTAACAGATGAGGAAAAGTGAAGTTTATCTTAAAAATTAAAACTCTGCCAGCGATGAGAATTATGAAATTCAGTAATCTCTACAGACTGCTTAGACTCATAATAATCATATTTTAACGAGTAACTAATTTCGAGAGGTGATTCTAGGAGTTTTAATAAGAAGCTATGACCAGTGGAGTTCATCCATTTCGAATGTGAGACAGTTACTAATGGCATTGAACGATGGTTTCGCGACGTCTCAAATGGAATGATTTGTAACTTATGAACCATGGAATCTAAACTGTGTATGCACGCTGCAAAACATTAAATCATGAGCTCGATTCCCAAAGGAGAGCTGGGTGCACTCTACTATGGAGTCCCATATTAGGAAGATATAAATATCTTGTGCTTTTTGGTTCCTAGTGGCGGTCTAGACAAGATTATTTCGTAATGTAGATATAAAATTGGACAGACCTTACAAATATTTTATGGTCAAACTACTATACGTATACATTGACTATGCAATAATGATATTGCTGGAATATAATTCTTTCTTAGAAAGAAGTCTCTTTAATCAATTATAGTCATTAAAAATAATAAACACATGCACTGATGATGGTAGAAGTTAAGGAAGATAAATTAGATTTTCAGTTTTTCAATATGCAATAAGTGATTCCATAAATACTTAGTCAGTTTGTAATAAAAACTTACATCTTTGACTGGCTCTTTGACTTTATAAAGGGTAGTGGCAGTTGTATCGCGATTAGAATTACGCATAAGTATTCCGTCATTTAAACTGGAATTTATACATGGACAACCTCTTGGAAAGAAATTAGATACATTAGTCCAAGTTGGCGTTTCAGGCTGATGAGCAGGATTCATACTACCATTTTGGTGGAGATATAAACATGTTTGTAAAGATTTGCGACAATGATCAGCCAAAGTTTGAAGCTTTCGAATCAGCCTATGCAAATGGAAGTAGCAAGCAGCATTAATGTGTTCTGGGTGGAATTTATTTCTGTTCTAATTAGTTATAAATCTAATTAAATTTGTGCAAAAATATTAACCCAAGACTTTTTGAGTTAAAGATATTCAATAACAACCCATCATTTGTGGTAACTAGTTATTAAGTCTTTTTCTACGGCCTAGTATTCTTGAACACTTCACTTCAACACGACAGGTCGCAAATAAAAACAAGAAATTGAAATATGATTATTTTTAAGATTTTTAAAAATGTTAATGTATACACAACCGCACAAATTTTGTGGTCACCTCAACTCATCCACTAGCGCTGATTGATCGAAAATGTATGAAACACGCTTAATAAAGTTTCTGTCCTGAAATCGCTAGTAGCAAACTTCGGAAAGATGAAGATTTGAAGTTCAGATGGACATTTTTGATGATGCCGTGTTCTCCGAAATCCCTGGCTTAGGCTTATTTAAAACTTTTATCGTAGTTCTGGGCAACATCATGAATGTCTAATTTGTGTAGAAGTGGTTTTTCTAGTTATACCAAAGTATTAGGTCGATTTGTTCTAAAGGTTTTGTTTGCAATTGATTTACTTCGTAGGTTCTGTTGTCGTCACTTGTCAGTTTATTGATGTTAACCGTTTTGCTTTGTTGACAGTAACAACATACAAAAAAAATCTACGTACAGACATTATTCAAAAGAGCTAAAGCAAAATGTAGAACCTAAATACACAAAAAACCCGAAGAAATTCACTTTTTCTCTGGCTTCCGTAAAAACGGTTGTCCAGCAATTTCAACAAGAGTTATCTACCGAATCAACAGACCACCGGAAAGTCAATCTCGCAAACCAAGTAACAAATCGTCCTGGGATATGTGGTTGTGAAACTTTTCGGGATCAATGTCGATCACAAACCAAGGGAATCACTTGGTTCTACTATATAAAGATGGAATGACACACAAGTAAACGACAAATGCAACATCATCTACAAGAATTGAATTGACTGTAAGGAATATTATACTGGAAAAGATTGATTCTCCATTTGATAACTTGGTATATACAAAATCCAAGCCCAATGAATTTGTCATTGTTAAATATTTTTACGTGGAATATGTTGACCAAAAATATATGCTTAAACTTTTAGACACTGAGTTCATGAAATCATACTAAAATGGTAACCTAGAATTACGATAGTTTTTCATTGAAAATAGTCATTATTTAGTCGAATTACATGTGTAACTTACACAACGTTAATAAATTTTTCAATGTTATGAAGCTCCACTGCACCACAATTTTCCGGAGGACTGACTGAATTTGAATTACGTCGCGATTGTTTAGAATTGTTTGGAGCATTATTGCATCTGATACACTTTGAATGAATTCCCTCAGAAAGATTGCCTAATTTGCACAGAGCCTACATAGTAAAAAATAGGATCAAGGGATTAATTTTATTCAGTGATACAGAGTACTTAAGCAAAAGGAATATGGTGGTGATAAAATAACGAAAATTTAGAACTTACAAGAGTTATGCTAAGTCCTGGGAATATAAAACCTGAATTTAATAAGGCACGGAATTCAAGAATTCGTTGTATCATTACTTGGAAACACTGTACTGTTCCATCTATGAAGCATTCTTTTTGAGCCATACTTTGTATCGATTTATTCATTTATGAGTTATTTTCAGGTTCTGATTAATTAAAAAGTACCCGGTGGTCTAATGGTTAAGCGCTCGCGGGCGAGACTGATAGGTCCTGGGTTCGAATCTCGCGGGGAGCGGGATCGTGAATGCACACTGCTGAGGAGTCCCATACTAGGACGAAACGGCCGCTCAGTGCTTCCAGGTTTTCTATGGTGGTCTAGCTTCAATTGACTCGTGATTTCAACTAGTGAAATTTCTAAAGTCTCCACAAAGCCCCTTCTGATAATAATCATCTGCTCACTAGTGACTGACTTCAAGAGACACTCCTGGAGTCCTAGTGAGAAGCCGTGGAGTTCAACCAGGTCTGTTGTGAGATATCAGCTCACTGAAGACAATGGTGACGGTGGCGCAATGTCGTGGATTGGTTCAAGTTAGACAATAACACCGTTGGATGCCAGCTCAGTGGTCTAATGGCTAGGCGTTCGCGCGCGAGACCGACAGGTCCTGGGTTCAAAAGGAATATGTTGGTGATAAAATAACGAAAATGTAGAACTTACAAGAGTTATGCTAAGTTCTGGGAATATAAAACCTCTGGAAAGCATTGAATAAAATAAATTATACTACTTTATCTGTGTTTTAGAATGTTTGTTGACTATAACTACAACATTACATATTTCGTATTTATGATATTTTTCTGATAGTCAGTTTACTTTATAAATAGAGACAAGTAAATGATGAGAACAGAATTAAATGTATATGACCTTTAAATCCTTTACAATGAAAGCATTCTTTAAAGAATTTCATTTACATTTCAGAGATTCCATATAATTTGCCTAACATGTTAATTTTTGTAGTATTCCTAGAATTATCATGAAATAAATTAGTTACTCGAAGTAGTACAAAAAGGTACTGAGAGAGGTAGAGAATAACCAGATGAAAGAAATGTGAATACAATAAATTTAACCAGTTTTAATGATAAGTTAGAAAGGAATATATTTATTTTATTATTATTAGTGGATTTATTCAGTATTATATTTTTGGTACAATATAGAAGCACAAAATATTTCAACAGGTTTTCGTTTCTTACTTCTTGGTCGATCCTGACGATAAATGTTGAGTGGTCGCCAGTTAGAAGTTAGCATTCCAGTCAATCGATATCTAAATAGTGTACATTATTTTCGTTGCATAATGCCAGAAACCACGATATCTCAGATTGGGCCTTTTGTAACTTGTACAACGAAAGATTGTACACTCTTTAGAAACGCACTTGTTGAAATATCTAGATGCCAGAAATAGGTAGCCCAGATGTTGAAGCAGGCCACTCTTTCGTTTATATAAAGATAATAGGCTTAGTATAGAAAGTTTGTTAGTTAGCTTATCTAAAGCTTAGTAATCAATCTTTTTAAATGCAAAAGTTAAAATGTTATAATTCACAATAATAATAACAACATCCAAATTATTGCATCTACTTAAAAATTCCGGTCTACTTCTGAGAAAAGTGTTGTACTGAACTGATCCTGCATTGATAATCTATTTTTGTATTGTTACAAAGAGAAGAATGTACTTACGTTTTTGTCATTGTGCTCAACTTTTTCACACAAGTTTTGCTTCCCCATATTCTCAGCACATAAGGACTTAATTCCGTTCACTGGATATGATTCATGACTGGAATATTTGTTACCTGAGAAAAACCAAAATAATTTATATTGTATCAATATTTAGAGTTTTCTGTTTCGCAATGCTATTGGTAATGTTTTAAATTAACTAATTACTCTTGTATTGTAAATAATATGTTTCGAAATAGTAGTCGATGCCACGTGCTAAATTTACCAATCAGTATTCCGACCATAACTTTTCTACCCCGCATCTTCTATTCCAACTATAGCCTGACGTTCTAAATCTTGAGTAGTGACGCGTTGTGATCGGCGTAATTAACTTTGTGTTAGTGCAGGATTTATCCATATTGGTCTATCTATCCACTCACCTTTCTCTATCCTCAGCCTTGAGTTAGAAAAGTCTGTAGCCAGGCTCCTATTAATATATTTCAATTACCCAGCTTAGCACGGTATAGCAAATAAGAAATCATACTTTGAACAAAATCATGCTATAAGACGCAGAGAGTGAAGCAAATAGTACGTAATTAACAATAATTAAGAAGTAGAAAAATACATAACGACAGTTGATAGGTCCACCGAAAGCTTCGAACAAGGAAAACAGAAATGCAATAATTCAGTTAGCTACTAATTATATGATGCAAATATTAATAATAATTCAAAAGTAGTCCTAACTATTCCAATACTCGTCCCGTCACAACAGTTAGTTACTTCCTGAGATTTATAATATCATCTTTTGAAGGTGTTTTTATAAATAAAGTGATTAAGGGTAACTCACCATTTAAATATAATAATGATTTGGAGTAATGAATTTGAATGACATTAATGTAGAATACACCCATAACGTATCGATTTCACAAGTCTGATGAAACCCTAAACATTCAAAAATTCTATTAAAAAAGTCAACTTGTAAAACTAATGATTAGGGATTTCATTAAAGTTCGTAAATGAATGGAAATGCTAACCACAATACTGTTTCATTACTTGGATATAGGCTGTGTCTTCTTACCTGTAATTCATGCTATACAGTCTAGACTTAAGCGCTAACCAAATCCTGTTAATTGACTTTACAATGTAACAACTAACCTAAGTTAATCGACATTAAGATGCACTACTTTTGATATCGAATGATTGTAGACCACTGGCAGATTGTTATGGACCTAGGTTTCGTGCGAGACAATACACTCAACAAGATTGTGCGTCTACTCTCAAGTCAATGAAAAGTTTCCTAACTTGATATTCATATTGATCAATATGGTTTAAGCAAAAATAATGATTACACAATATGACAATAATTACTGAAAATAAACAGGATAGAGTAATCAACTAAAAATTATGAGAGGTTACTAACAGACCGTATAGCAAATTGATGACATCGGTTGTGGAACGAGTTGATGTGAGTTCGAATATGTGTTCGTTTAAAACTGTAAACTAGTATTGTTTTGTTAAAGAGGAAGAAACATAAGTTTGTGGATTTCTTTAAGTCGCTTGCACTGATCTAGCATATGGTGTTATATCCACTTTAGTTTTAAAACTTTCAGCCAATGATAAAAGAAGACAGTTCTGATGTTGGTGTAATCTATTCATTACGAAACTTATTCGAACATTTTCAAAATTGAGATGCTAAGAGTGACATGTGTTCAAACAAACTTAAGTAAAATATCATTAGTTGTAAAAACATTGCCTTTACCTATAAATAGTAAAAGTAACATCACAAGTAAAATTCACGATTATTTTCGCTTGAAATATTACGTGCATTCTAGTTTCAAAACACCTAAATGCCGGCAAACCGATGAAAGTAAAAAAAATAGTACATTATGTTTGGATGAGAATTGTTGGAATAATTAGGCAGCCAAGAAGAGTGATAAATGTCATCTCAGATAATAAACGAATCGTCGACAGAACATGTTACTCTAAACAATTTGTGTTTTATAATAGATAATCCCACTAAAAATTTAGAATATAGCATAAAAATACTTACTGTCAGTAGCAAGTCCCTCTTGAGTTTGTAAGTGAGCTATAATTCTCAAAATTAAATCCTTTTCACTTTCAGCATTTTTTATTTTCGTCTGTAAAATGATAAAAGTAACAAACTTCATTGAAATCATGAGCTGATCTAAGTTAGACCACCATTTAAAGCCTGGAAGCACTTGACGGTTGTTTCGTCCTAGTATGGAACTCCCCTACTATCCCGCACGCGGGAATCGAAACCAGAACCTTCGCTCTTGGGCGTGAACGCTTAACTTCCACAATCCCCCGCTAGTAATTATCATGCGCTTACTACTGAATGGCTTTGAAAAGAAGTTTCTGGAGTCCTGGTCAGTGACTGATGGAACTAATCCGTTTTGGGTGTGAGGTAGTTATCCACTGGAGACAATGGGAAATGGTCGGGCCATGTCTTGGATTGGTTAAAGTTGGACATTAACAACGTTGGACGCTGACTCAGTTTTCTAGAGGTTAAGCGTTAGAGCACGAGACCGAAGGTCCTGGGTTCAGTCCCCTCGTGCGGGATAGGGGATGTGCGCTGCTTAGGAGTCCCATGATGAGACGAAACGGGTGTCTTGTAATCGCAGGTTTTGAATGGCGTTCTAACTTAGATTGATTCATAGTTTCAATATAATTTACCAATCTCCACAATCTCTTACTCATAAATGAATTTAGTTTGCAACAAAAAAGCTCATATAACAGCTTAACCCTTAACTAAATGAAAATAGCCAACTCATACATTCCCTAAAAAATCTAATATTTGAAGGTATAATTGGATATATATGATTATAAGAATAACTAAAGATGCATCGATATATATAGTTCTTTTGTGTTTGGAAAATAACTAAGTAATTTTTAGCATACTGTTCCAGTATCAAACTACTACAGTTTGATTGTAAACCTCAACGAAATTATTGGATATGAATTTAAGATAATTTTTTTCTACAGTTAATTTGAAAGACAAAAGCGATCAATAATTACTGTCCAAGTTAAATGTGTTAATTTTATTTGATATTTTTATATAAAATAGGATTAATATGTGACCTGAAACTATGATGAAAGTCTACATTCAACGCGTCTTTAAGTTAAAATTGAAACCAGACAATATTCGATATAAGATACATGTACTAATAGGGTGCATATCTAAATTTGAGAAAACTTATCTTATTTAAAAATATCAGGAGGAAACCTAGTTTTTCTTTTATTCAATATGGTCTCTTAATATGTATTTGATATCCGTCACAAGTAATTAGAGAAGACATCAATGAAGAAAATTAAGGTTTGTTTCTAAAACAAGAATGAAATACCATATAGTATCATGATGTTTCTTCACGACAGTTCGGTTATATTTATTGATTAGTAACCATATTTGACTGGCTAATACATTTTGACAGAATCTTAAGTAATGAACTGGTAAACTTCCCTATGAAAGTCTAATTGTCAGTTTTCTTATTCAAAGCACATTAATCCTGGTACACTAAAACGTCAAAAAGAATATACTATACTAGTAAATCTACAATACTGTAAAAAAATAGAGTAGTTCACTCAATAAACTAATGAACACAAATGAAATTTTATAAGAGCTAAAGTTCGTTTAAAGGCATAGAACAAAAAACTTTCACTTAAGAAAGGTAGTTTAATTGCTACGAAAATTCTAACAGAAAACTACAGTATGATCGCCAGTGGTTTTCATTCTGATTCATGTCTAATGACGTATCAAACCACCGAGTTGCACAATTTCCGTGAACCCAACTGGAGAGTCGTGGTGAACCGATGGATGCCAATGCTACATTTCACACTCCGGCACCATTTCATAAGCTGACCAATGACTCTGTACCAGGGTCGGTAAACTACAGACTGTTTGGAAGCCACCTGCATGATACCTGTAAAACATGTTCAAGACACTGGATTTGGTGTTTCAGAATTATGACATTCAGTGAATTATAATCACTACACATAAACATGTAATGTCGAACTTCAGTATTAATAAGATTGCACTGCCACCTAACGAGAGCGATCCTTTGAAAATGACGATGATCAAATACTCACCAAACATTTTCAGTTCGGAAGAGCTAGTTTTCAAAAGTATAGGGCATAACTACTCTCACAGAGATGTAGTATTCGCTTCGTAAATACAGCTGATTTTTTAAATAAACTACTTCAGTTTCTATCAGTTCAGTCCTACTCCAGCAGGAATTTAAGGTCAATGTAGGGAGTAACACCAAACTAAACATATGGCCCAGTAAAAACCACTTGATCAACTTTCCGGAATATATATTAGAAGAATGTTTGCAAACAATGTAAAAGCATTACTCACATCACCTTTTTAAACAATGTTCTTTCGTAAGAAACGGATTATACTTCCTACTACGTTATGAAAGGACCTTTATATATTAACCGTTTAGTTAACTCTTCATAAAATATAAGACAATTACAAATTTCTTTGGTGGTATTGAGGAGCGCAAAAGTGATACGCGGTTTTATAGAATGTAAATGCAGCAAACTGATAGTTATTCAAACAAGTCTAGGTGAAAAATTCCAAATACTATAAGTATATTTAAAAAATTAGAAGCCTGACAGTACAAAAAATAGGAACAATCAAGAGATAGTGTTACTACTTTCAGTTATATAGCTTCCTATCAAGGAAAGTTTACCAAACACAAAGAATCCTAATTATTCCGAACATTACATGGATAGGTAAAAAATGAAAATAAATAATACAACCAAACCATCAAATGGAGCGAAATCCCCATGTGGACTAAATGGAAAGCCAAAAACAGCCGTAGTTATTATATATTTAATGATACGAGTTTTTGTCGTTGTTAGCACTAAGAAGTGCATTTAAGCAGTGCCCATTAGCATATGTGCGTTTGAAGAAACAGATACTGAGTTCGAGTTTCAGTTTGAACATTGACACCGGAATCCAGAAGTGTTCAGCTGACTAGTCATAAATAGGACCAAACAGTAGTCCTAGATTGTATTGATAGCGAAAACCTAATTTAATTAAAAAACTGGTTATGTCTCATTAGGTGGCGCAATGTCGTGGATTGGTTCAAGTTAGACAATAACACCGTTGGATGCCAGCTCAGTGGTCTAATGGCTAGGCGTTCGCGCGCGAGACCGACAGGTCCTGGGTTCAAAAGGAATATGTTGGTGATAAAATAACGAAAATGTAGAACTTACAAGAGTTATGCTAAGTTCTGGGAATATAAAACCTCTGGAAAGCATTGAATAAATAAATTATACTACTTTATCTGTGTTTTAGAATGTTTGTTGACTATAACTACAACATTACATATTTCGTATTTATGATATTTTTCTGATAGTCAGTTTACTTTATAAATAGAGACAAGTAAATGATGAGAACAGAATTAAATGTATATGACCTTTAAATCCTTTACAATGAAAGCATTCTTTAAAGAATTTCATTTACATTTCAGAGATTCCATATAATTTGCCTAACATGTTAATTTTTGTAGTATTCCTAGAATTATCATGAAATAAATTAGTTACTCGAAGTAGTACAAAAAGGTACTGAGAGAGGTAGAGAATAACCAGATGAAAGAAATGTGAATACAATAAATTTAACCAGTTTTAATGATAAGTTAGAAAGGAATATATTTATTTTATTATTATTAGTGGATTTATTCAGTATTATATTTTTGGTACAATATAGAAGCACAAAATATTTCAACAGGTTTTCGTTTCTTACTTCTTGGTCGATCCTGACGATAAATGTTGAGTGGTCGCCAGTTAGAAGTTAGCATTCCAGTCAATCGATATCTAAATAGTGTACATTATTTTCGTTGCATAATGCCAGAAACCACGATATCTCAGATTGGGCCTTTTGTAACTTGTACAACGAAAGATTGTACACTCTTTAGAAACGCACTTGTTGAAATATCTAGATGCCAGAAATAGGTAGCCCAGATGTTGAAGCAGGCCACTCTTTCGTTTATATAAAGATAATAGGCTTAGTATAGAAAGTTTGTTAGTTAGCTTATCTAAAGCTTAGTAATCAATCTTTTTAAATGCAAAAGTTAAAATGTTATAATTCACAATAATAATAACAACATCCAAATTATTGCATCTACTTAAAAATTCCGGTCTACTTCTGAGAAAAGTGTTGTACTGAACTGATCCTGCATTGATAATCTATTTTTGTATTGTTACAAAGAGAAGAATGTACTTACGTTTTTGTCATTGTGCTCAACTTTTTCACACAAGTTTTGCTTCCCCATATTCTCAGCACATAAGGACTTAATTCCGTTCACTGGATATGATTCATGACTGGAATATTTGTTACCTGAGAAAAACCAAAATAATTTATATTGTATCAATATTTAGAGTTTTCTGTTTCGCAATGCTATTGGTAATGTTTTAAATTAACTAATTACTCTTGTATTGTAAATAATATGTTTCGAAATAGTAGTCGATGCCACGTGCTAAATTTACCAATCAGTATTCCGACCATAACTTTTCTACCCCGCATCTTCTATTCCAACTATAGCCTGACGTTCTAAATCTTGAGTAGTGACGCGTTGTGATCGGCGTAATTAACTTTGTGTTAGTGCAGGATTTATCCATATTGGTCTATCTATCCACTCACCTTTCTCTATCCTCAGCCTTGAGTTAGAAAAGTCTGTAGCCAGGCTCCTATTAATATATTTCAATTACCCAGCTTAGCACGGTATAGCAAATAAGAAATCATACTTTGAACAAAATCATGCTATAAGACGCAGAGAGTGAAGCAAATAGTACGTAATTAACAATAATTAAGAAGTAGAAAAATACATAACGACAGTTGATAGGTCCACCGAAAGCTTCGAACAAGGAAAACAGAAATGCAATAATTCAGTTAGCTACTAATTATATGATGCAAATATTAATAATAATTCAAAAGTAGTCCTAACTATTCCAATACTCGTCCCGTCACAACAGTTAGTTACTTCCTGAGATTTATAATATCATCTTTTGAAGGTGTTTTTATAAATAAAGTGATTAAGGGTAACTCACCATTTAAATATAATAATGATTTGGAGTAATGAATTTGAATGACATTAATGTAGAATACACCCATAACGTATCGATTTCACAAGTCTGATGAAACCCTAAACATTCAAAAATTCTATTAAAAAAGTCAACTTGTAAAACTAATGATTAGGGATTTCATTAAAGTTCGTAAATGAATGGAAATGCTAACCACAATACTGTTTCATTACTTGGATATAGGCTGTGTCTTCTTACCTGTAATTCATGCTATACAGTCTAGACTTAAGCGCTAACCAAATCCTGTTAATTGACTTTACAATGTAACAACTAACCTAAGTTAATCGACATTAAGATGCACTACTTTTGATATCGAATGATTGTAGACCACTGGCAGATTGTTATGGACCTAGGTTTCGTGCGAGACAATACACTCAACAAGATTGTGCGTCTACTCTCAAGTCAATGAAAAGTTTCCTAACTTGATATTCATATTGATCAATATGGTTTAAGCAAAAATAATGATTACACAATATGACAATAATTACTGAAAATAAACAGGATAGAGTAATCAACTAAAAATTATGAGAGGTTACTAACAGACCGTATAGCAAATTGATGACATCGGTTGTGGAACGAGTTGATGTGAGTTCGAATATGTGTTCGTTTAAAACTGTAAACTAGTATTGTTTTGTTAAAGAGGAAGAAACATAAGTTTGTGGATTTCTTTAAGTCGCTTGCACTGATCTAGCATATGGTGTTATATCCACTTTAGTTTTAAAACTTTCAGCCAATGATAAAAGAAGACAGTTCTGATGTTGGTGTAATCTATTCATTACGAAACTTATTCGAACATTTTCAAAATTGAGATGCTAAGAGTGACATGTGTTCAAACAAACTTAAGTAAAATATCATTAGTTGTAAAAACATTGCCTTTACCTATAAATAGTAAAAGTAACATCACAAGTAAAATTCACGATTATTTTCGCTTGAAATATTACGTGCATTCTAGTTTCAAAACACCTAAATGCCGGCAAACCGATGAAAGTAAAAAAAATAGTACATTATGTTTGGATGAGAATTGTTGGAATAATTAGGCAGCCAAGAAGAGTGATAAATGTCATCTCAGATAATAAACGAATCGTCGACAGAACATGTTACTCTAAACAATTTGTGTTTTATAATAGATAATCCCACTAAAAATTTAGAATATAGCATAAAAATACTTACTGTCAGTAGCAAGTCCCTCTTGAGTTTGTAAGTGAGCTATAATTCTCAAAATTAAATCCTTTTCACTTTCAGCATTTTTTATTTTCGTCTGTAAAATGATAAAAGTAACAAACTTCATTGAAATCATGAGCTGATCTAAGTTAGACCACCATTTAAAGCCTGGAAGCACTTGACGGTTGTTTCGTCCTAGTATGGAACTCCCCTACTATCCCGCACGCGGGAATCGAAACCAGAACCTTCGCTCTTGGGCGTGAACGCTTAACTTCCACAATCCCCCGCTAGTAATTATCATGCGCTTACTACTGAATGGCTTTGAAAAGAAGTTTCTGGAGTCCTGGTCAGTGACTGATGGAACTAATCCGTTTTGGGTGTGAGGTAGTTATCCACTGGAGACAATGGGAAATGGTCGGGCCATGTCTTGGATTGGTTAAAGTTGGACATTAACAACGTTGGACGCTGACTCAGTTTTCTAGAGGTTAAGCGTTAGAGCACGAGACCGAAGGTCCTGGGTTCAGTCCCCTCGTGCGGGATAGGGGATGTGCGCTGCTTAGGAGTCCCATGATGAGACGAAACGGGTGTCTTGTAATCGCAGGTTTTGAATGGCGTTCTAACTTAGATTGATTCATAGTTTCAATATAATTTACCAATCTCCACAATCTCTTACTCATAAATGAATTTAGTTTGCAACAAAAAAGCTCATATAACAGCTTAACCCTTAACTAAATGAAAATAGCCAACTCATACATTCCCTAAAAAATCTAATATTTGAAGGTATAATTGGATATATATGATTATAAGAATAACTAAAGATGCATCGATATATATAGTTCTTTTGTGTTTGGAAAATAACTAAGTAATTTTTAGCATACTGTTCCAGTATCAAACTACTACAGTTTGATTGTAAACCTCAACGAAATTATTGGATATGAATTTAAGATAATTTTTTTCTACAGTTAATTTGAAAGACAAAAGCGATCAATAATTACTGTCCAAGTTAAATGTGTTAATTTTATTTGATATTTTTATATAAAATAGGATTAATATGTGACCTGAAACTATGATGAAAGTCTACATTCAACGCGTCTTTAAGTTAAAATTGAAACCAGACAATATTCGATATAAGATACATGTACTAATAGGGTGCATATCTAAATTTGAGAAAACTTATCTTATTTAAAAATATCAGGAGGAAACCTAGTTTTTCTTTTATTCAATATGGTCTCTTAATATGTATTTGATATCCGTCACAAGTAATTAGAGAAGACATCAATGAAGAAAATTAAGGTTTGTTTCTAAAACAAGAATGAAATACCATATAGTATCATGATGTTTCTTCACGACAGTTCGGTTATATTTATTGATTAGTAACCATATTTGACTGGCTAATACATTTTGACAGAATCTTAAGTAATGAACTGGTAAACTTCCCTATGAAAGTCTAATTGTCAGTTTTCTTATTCAAAGCACATTAATCCTGGTACACTAAAACGTCAAAAAGAATATACTATACTAGTAAATCTACAATACTGTAAAAAAATAGAGTAGTTCACTCAATAAACTAATGAACACAAATGAAATTTTATAAGAGCTAAAGTTCGTTTAAAGGCATAGAACAAAAAACTTTCACTTAAGAAAGGTAGTTTAATTGCTACGAAAATTCTAACAGAAAACTACAGTATGATCGCCAGTGGTTTTCATTCTGATTCATGTCTAATGACGTATCAAACCACCGAGTTGCACAATTTCCGTGAACCCAACTGGAGAGTCGTGGTGAACCGATGGATGCCAATGCTACATTTCACACTCCGACACCATTTCATAAGCTGACCAATGACTCTGTACCAGGGTCGGTAAACTACAGACTGTTTGGAAGCCACCTGCATGATACCTGTAAAACATGTTCAAGACACTGGATTTGGTGTTTCAGAATTATGACATTCAGTGAATTATAATCACTACACATAAACATGTAATGTCGAACTTCAGTATTAATAAGATTGCACTGCCACCTAACGAGAGCGATCCTTTGAAAATGACGATGATCAAATACTCACCAAACATTTTCAGTTCGGAAGAGCTAGTTTTCAAAAGTATAGGGCATAACTACTCTCACAGAGATGTAGTATTCGCTTCGTAAATACAGCTGATTTTTTAAATAAACTACTTCAGTTTCTATCAGTTCAGTCCTACTCCAGCAGGAATTTAAGGTCAATGTAGGGAGTAACACCAAACTAAACATATGGCCCAGTAAAAACCACTTGATCAACTTTCCGGAATATATATTAGAAGAATGTTTGCAAACAATGTAAAAGCATTACTCACATCACCTTTTTAAACAATGTTCTTTCGTAAGAAACGGATTATACTTCCTACTACGTTATGAAAGGACCTTTATATATTAACCGTTTAGTTAACTCTTCATAAAAATATAAGACAATTACAAAATTTCTTTGGTGGTATTGAGGAGCGCAAAAGTGATACGCGGTTTTATAGAATGTAAATGCAGCAAACTGATAGTTATTCAAACAAGTCTAGGTGAAAAATTCCAAATACTATAAGTATATTTAAAAAATTAGAAGCCTGACAGTACAAAAAATAGGAACAATCAAGAGATAGTGTTACTACTTTCAGTTATATAGCTTCCTATCAAGGAAAGTTTACCAAACACAAAGAATCCTAATTATTCCGAACATTACATGGATAGGTAAAAAATGAAAATAAATAATACAACCAAACCATCAAATGGAGCGAAATCCCCATGTGGACTAAATGGAAAGCCAAAAACAGCCGTAGTTATTATATATTTAATGATACGAGTTTTTGTCGTTGTTAGCACTAAGAAGTGCATTTAAGCAGTGCCCATTAGCATATGTGCGTTTGAAGAAACAGATACTGAGTTCGAGTTTCAGTTTGAACATTGACACCGGAATCCAGAAGTGTTCAGCTGACTAGTCATAAATAGGACCAAACAGTAGTCCTAGATTGTATTGATAGCGAAAACCTAATTTAATTAAAAAAACTGGTTATGTCTCATTAGGTCCATGAAATGGATGATAACCAGTAACGATGATAGAATAGATAACGCAAATGGGATAAGAAAATGTTAGTGATATATATCAAGCATAAGTAATTGGAGGATGACGACCAATAAAAATGAGGCTTGCAAATATAAAGTATGCACAAAATGTTGAAAATAGTATGTGATTGAGCAGAGAATGTTCAATAAATATACGCATTCAGCAGTTATTCTTTGATGGAGCTATTTTTACACCTTGATACACGTTACGGTATTAAAGATTATTGTTAACATACATTTATGTTTTGGACCAACTGAATTATTTTCTTCTCTTGGTTCACAATCCATTGTTGATCGGGACTTGGTTGAGTGGTACTATGTGGCACGGCATGACTTTGATTTGAGCACTTCATCAAAAATCAACTGTCTGAGAGTTTTTACTGAATATTGTGATTTAATTCCACACTGGGACTCTCTAGCTCGTTTAGCGTCTTCAACGTTCACTTGGTGTTTTCAATAACTATTATAAAGGCAAGGTTTCCAATTAATTTTATAAACTTTTTTCTTTAAAACTGAATGCAAAACAACAGGACCACCTTAGCATAAAGATAAATTGCACAAAGAACACGACAAGATAACAATTATTCTTTACTATCCTAAAACAAAAAAGAAATAGAAAACTGGTCATTACAAAAGTAAGGGAAGTTTGAGAAAAAAATATGATCTTGCAATCATTGGGTTTTCTTAGGCTGTCAAAAACTGTTATGCACAAACACCAACAACGTTTAGATGACCTGAATGGGGGTCTTTTCCCAACTTTAAAAAACTGAATAAGAACATGAACATCTTTTCGCTTAGCTATGTTGTTGCATCTACTACTGAATTTATATTTTTGATCATATGATGCAAGTTGTAAGAGTACCCAAGTGATCTCTCTATTAAGAATCTAGTGCTTCTGTACTTATAGAAATTACACTGTGATATCCTTATATATATCTATACAGATTTTGTGTAAAACTTGATAGCTTAGTCAGTACATGAACATTTTCAGTGTACGCGAATAAAAGATGTCACGTTTGATTTATGCTTGGACGTTACGATGACATACAAGTCAACATATATTCAATAACAGACCTCAGAATTCGCCGTGTCAGACCACTGATTAGAAAACTAAATGACCCTAGAAGATTTAAAATGACTATTTCTATTGTTCCAGACGTAAATCTCGATGAACTAGTTCAGAAAAACAAGACTAAACAATAGCCACAAATACTAGTTTTATTATGGTATTTTACACGTATAGAACCCAATATCTTCTTCACGAGCTACTGCAAGCCAAATGATTTATCTTTTTCTGTTTAATAGCGTTAAGGCACAGTTCTATTTCTACGCAAAACGGTTAGTCAAGCCACTCAGCTGCACTGGTCTTAATGAATTTGACAGTTTCTTGGGTCTCAGACTAACTTGTATATGATTAGCCCAGTGTTGTTGGTGAAAGGATGTAAACATCTACCATTTTTTTGACAACACCCATTAATGGTTAAACATACATAAGCCGACTATATAAAGGATTCTCTTGAAACCTGCATAAGCTGGCTTTATTATTCTGCAAACCCCTCCATTATATTTCAGTGCACATCCTCAACGTTAATTAGACAGCAGTCAAAATCTTCTTATGATTGAAGTTTTGTCTTAGGGCGAAGCGTGAGAAATTTACGATTAAGTCATGACTCAACTTGAGTACAACTCACTATGGCATATCGTTAACATGTACTTAAGTCGAGTAAATAAGACAGTTGTTAACAGAAAGATAGATAATAAGCGCGAAATTAAGGAAATACGACAACTGAAACTTTAATTAATCAAATAATGCCTAAAATCGATTACACAACCCGAGACACGCGATAACACAGAGAGTCGTCAAATTGTGCGGACAAACTGTTCTGACAAATAAATACAAAGAAATTACATTTATATGGAGCGTAGAATTAAGTCATTCAGTGTCCTTTGTAAAAATAATAATTAAAGGCTTTAGTTACGCCTTTTGCACGCTGTTTAAAAATAGACACTACTATTGGTTACAGCTCACATTTTCTAAGTGATAAAGCGAACATTCTAACCTGACTGATGAACTTAAGTAAGAACCCTTTGCTTAAAGATGTTTCGGATTCGACTAAAATCTGTTTTCGGACTTCTAATTCTTCGTGAATCTAGTGATGGGCGATAAATTAGTTCCATTTATAAAGATTTCTACCACTTTTCCAAATGATAAGTTTCAACATATTTTGAAATGAAAATTCAACGATCAGCCTAGTTTATTTATAAATGCAAGACCGTTTCACTTTTAAACTTATACTCCAATATTTACTAATATAATGGTGCCGTGAGATAATACTACTTCATCATGGAAAGTTATTTGTCAGTAAGCCATCAGGAATAGTGAAAATGTTCATTCATCGTCATCGAGATTGTTAGTTACAAGACTTACAAGACGAATAAATTCCGTTGTAGTTGCCAATTTTCGAACGCTTAATATGTCTTTTACTGAATGTACATTTTGTTTCGCTTGCTTATGTAGGACGTTATCATGCCCTTTGTACACCTGTTTGAGTTTGAATGCACGTCATTATAAACGTTTTCACTTAGCCTCTGCACCTTATGGTTTTTGTTTTATTGCCTTGAAGACTGTCATCCGATTACAACATTACTCACCTTGGTTGCTTACTGTTATAACTTGTGACCGCTGATTATGGAGCAGTGACTTATCGATTGGATCAATGACACGTAAAACCGTATGAGCAGTCTAGAGTTCTGATTGACCCTGCTTTCTTTCTAGCCCAATCAGTTAAGTCCAGAACAAATGTCTCAGCCTCTGTAATATGAATCGTTATATTTCAAGCATACTCTGTTTATATACCAATCAAGCAGACCACATCGTACCATAAAATAGAAAGTAACATTTGTACAATATTTGGCCAACAGGAAAATGTCACGTGAAATAAGTGTTGACCAGTAGGAAAATAACACGTAAAATAAATATTGACCAATAGGAAAATGATACCATCTCAAGTACCAGAATAACATTAGACTTAATAGAATAATTTTTGAGATATTTCCCTGTTTCAAACTCAAATGGAATCAAAAAGACTAACAAAAATGTATAACTAAAGGAATCAATAGGAACAAACTGCAAATGTGTACATGGAGGGATTTTCACACTCAAAACATTCAAAATTGATCTTACAATAATATTAATTCAGACGACGCTTCGGGGTAAAAGATTTTTAAAGGGTATAAACAATCTGACCAACAGAGGGTATATCAATTATTGATCAATATTAAACTGAGGTATAACATTCTATCGTGACTTAACCTTCTAACAAGTAGTTTGTTGGGGAGTCGAAAGTCACTTGTCGTTCGTGTTGACGTTTTTCAAAAAACATTTTAGTCGTATTATCCAACAGACAATAGGATATGATGATATATATATGGATATAAGAAAACTATCAAACATAGGAAATAGAATGTATGAGTGTACAACATCAATGTCAGTATCCTATTTATAAATATCCTATAAGATGTAACGTAAAGCGCTGTTTGAGGTAAGCGAATACGAGAAATCTACAATAGCTTCTCGGGCTACATAAAAACTTATAAATAATAGGTTTTCCACAGTAAATGATCATGAGTTCAAGTTAAAGAGGTAAGACATCAACAACAATATATCATGAGCATCTAAAAGTTAAAGATGGTTAATCCAAAGTGTCCATGCCAGTAAAATGTGTTTTAATCGACGAGAGTTTAACCACCAAATTTGCAGTATTTGGTTTGAACATAGAAGTATAATGAACAATAGTTCATTTGATTAGATGTAACTACAACCTCCCTGAATCAATGGTATTTATTTACATCAAAGCATAAAGTCAGTGGTTGAATAAATCGTTTCCTATTTAAGAAAAAAAACAAATCATACCAAATTATAAAATTCTTCAAATGGTACGGCTTGTTCTGTACAGGTACCAGTTTCTTTAGAACACAATAGCGTACTTAGTAGCAAAAGGAATGGTTAATAAATAATTGTTCAGTACCTGAGTCACCAAGTGCATTCTTGATATAGTGGAATCAATTATCTATCCACCAGAACTCAACTAACTGTTTTCTGAAGACATTTAAAAATCAACAATCCTACAATTGAAAAATATATGGAACTCAAACCAACTCTAACCACTATCAAAGTCAAAATCTTCAATACGAACGTTGAGACAGTTCTACTGTATGATGCTAAAACTTGGAGAAATACTACAGCCATCGTCAAAAAGGTACAAGTATTTATAAACAATTGTCTACGCAAGATAACATCAACAATTGTATACTGTGGGAGAGGATAAACCAGGTTTCGACTGAAGAGGAAATTAGGAAAAGACGTTGGAAATGGATCGAGCATACATTACGGAAATCACCGTCTCAGTGGTCTAGAAGGTAATAATATACTGCAATGATCCTATTGAGGTATTGAGATAATATACTGAGATTTAAGTATATTACATACATACATACATACATACATACATACATACATACATACATACATACATACATACATACATACATACATACATACATACATACATACATACATACATACATACATACATACATACATACATACATACATACATACATACATACATACATACATACATACATACATACATACATACATACATACATACATACATACATACATACATACATACATACATACATACATACATACATACATACATACATACATACATACATACATACATACATACATACATACATACATACATACATACATACATACATACATACATACATACATACATACATACATACATACATACATACATACATACATACATACATACATACATACATACATACATACATACATACATACATACATACATACATACATACATACATACATACATACATACATACATACATACATACATACATACATACATACATACATACATACATACATACATACATACATACATACATACATACATACATACATACATACATACATACATACATACATACATACATACATACATACATACATACATACATACATAGATACATACATACATACATACACACATACATACATACATACACACATACATACTGTTATAATTAGTCGTTTGAATGCTTATTGTCTCGGCTCTTTTAAGGCTACTTTTTGTATCTGATCGTCGCCGATTGTTACGTTGGAAACGCTTATCACTTATACTCGGAATGAGAGACCTCTGCAATTCCCACGACGTGAAAGCAAGAACATAAAGACTGGCATAAGTGGTGATTTATTAACCCAAAGCACTATGACGACGACAACGACTATAGTCGAAAATACACT